ATTAAAAAAAAAAAAGAAAAACCTGGTGCACAAGAAACGCTCAGAAAGCGCTGGGTCGAACGCTGCAGGTTCACGTCTGGATCCCAGTCCCAGCTCTGCCGCCAGCTCTGTGCCTGGTGCCCTCATCCATCAAATGGAAAAATAATGGGAAACTTACAGTCTAAGGTTAACCTCTAGAAAGATCCTACCACACAACCACACCCCCACTGACTGGGCAGACCACTCCCCACCCAGAGCTGCTGGGAGAGGGGCTGCCTGAGTATTGGGGAGACTCAACTCCCCAAGACAGAGTGGAAGGGGTACCCAACGAGGGGTGGGGGCTTGTAGGGCAGCCATTTAGCTGGTGGTTACAAGCACGGGCCCTGCCACGGCCTCCAGCAGGTCACTGACCCTCACAGGAGAACAGTGCCTGGTTCTCTCTCCAATAAACTGGGCAGTGGGACCTACTCCGTAGTGTTTGAGGATGAAGACAAATGCATGTGAAGAGCACAGTGTCCATCCTGTACATGGTCAGTTCACAAAATCACAACTATGCATGGAAGTTGCCTAGAGGAGTCTCCCCACCGAGAGCTTAAGCCCAGGAGGGGCTGTGAGGGACAGTGAGCACTGGTCCTGGAGAGCCAGTGACAGCCCCAGGCGTGGGTTAGGGTGGAGCCTTACCAGTGGGCGGGGTGGGCCAGTGACAGAACCGCAGCGAGGCGGGCTGTGGGGGTGTGGCCAGAAAGGTGGGGGCTGCCCAGCTCCCACCCCAGCCTCCCCCGGTTTCCCAGCTTCAGTGTCCCCTTTCCTCAGCACAGGCGGAGGCCAGAGACAGGCCTGGGGCTGACCCCACACCTGCCCAGGGGTTGTTGGATGGGTTACTAAAGAAAATTATTGTCGCGAATGACATCAACGCTAGGCACTTAGGATTATCTTCATTTTACAAGGGAGTTTGCAGGAGCTCAGAGAGTTTAAGAGGGTTGCCTGACATCACACAGGCAGTAACAACCAGGGCTGTGCTAAACCCCGGGCGCCTAGATGTAGGAAGCGGGCATGGAGCCCAGCGCAGCGCGCAGGGGTCTGCACGGGGTGGGGCCCAGATCCGAAGGCGGCTCTCCCTGCGGGCCGCCGGCTGCCCTTGGGCCCGTCGGAAGGCAGCACTTTTGGGGCGCTTCTCTGCTCCCTCCCACTCCCCTCCCCTCCTGGGGAGCCTGACCATCTTGCAGGGGAGCCGGTGGTCCCCCGCCTGCTCTGTCTGCTTGTCCGCCAAGTGGGTGGGAGGGAGGTCGGCTGCCCGGCGGTCGTTGCCATGGTGGCCGCCAGGGGTCGCCTTGGACACGCAAACTGAGGCACCCAGCGCAGCCCCTGGGGCGGAAGGCGCAAGGTCGCCAAAGCCCAGAGGAGGGGACACCCACTGCTGCCCTCTGCGCTCTCCGCACCTGGCCTTACCAGCCTGGGGGCGGGGGCGGCCTGGGTCAGGGAGGCTTTCTGGAGTTCAGGGATCGGGCCCCGCCCCCGGGTCCCGCCACCGCTCAGCCCCGCAACTACCGACTTTCTCCCTCCCTCCTTCCCCACCACCAGCTGCCACAGAGTTAGATGAGCCTTTTTCTAAGCACCTGCCTGTGCCAGGCAGCACCCCAGAGGTACAGATCCAGCGTGGAGGCGGGCGGGGCTCAGAGGCGCAAGCTCCCCGAAGTCGAGACATTTTGTGGTTTTGCTCGCTCGCAGCTCCTGGCACACAGGAGGCCCTCAGTCTGGAAGGAATGGTGCTCACAGCCAGGTTTTTAAAGCCTGGATTAAAACTGTGTTTGCACAATTCATCAGTGACCACCGCGATGGAGGCCTGCAGACCCGGGTTGTCCCATTTAACCAGCTGGCGCTCAATTTCCCAAACTTCCTCACAGCCCTCATTCTACTGGTGGGAGCACCGAGGCCCAGAGGACAGTCGGGGCAGCTGTGTCCTTCCTCGCCTTTCAGAAGGGGGTCCCATCTGTACGTCTTCTCCCACGCTGCCTGGCTCGCTCGTGTCCATAGTTCAGGTCTCAGTCAAAGGACACTTCCTCTGGGAAGCCTTCCCTGACCAGCCTCCCTCTCCTGCCTCCCCTTCTCCCCACCCAGTGCTGCGTCCCTCTCCCCTTCTGCACTGTGAAAGCCTGAGGACAGGCAGCGTGGGGACTCTGTCCCTCCTCATCTACCTGTAGTGCCTGGCTCTGTGCCTGCCACAGGCTCAAAAGCAAATGAATGTTTGTGGAATGAATAGGTGAGAGCTCAACCTGCAGAGGGAAAAGGTGAGTGGTACTCACCTCCTCCTCCCTGGCTCTCACCCTGGAGGACCCTGGTCAGGGGCAGAGGGTGCTGCGGAGTCCTGGTGGGTCCTCCTCGGCCCCGCCCTGCCTGTGCCCCTCCCATGGTGCTTGCCACACTCCACGGTAGAGTCTGTGTTTGTAATGCATGACATGGGTCTTCCCCGAGTGAGCATTTACTGTTGCTGAGCTCAGTTTCCTCATCTGGAAAAGCGAGTTAAGAAGCCTGGTAGTGAGTCGCTGTGAGGATTAAGTGAAATCCCTCAGGAAAACCCCAGCTCAGGGCCTGGGGCAGAGGTACCACCACATACCAACCCCATGCCCTGGAGCAGGCCCAGCCTTGCCCTAAGCCTCCATTTCCCCATCTGAAAGGGAGGCTCTGAAAGCCCCATAATCGAGGGGTGATTTAAAGTGTGTGGAGCACGGCTGGTGGCAGGCAGGTACTTACTGGACAACCGCCACTGACACTCATGGAGGGCTGCTCTATGTCGGGCACTGCCCAAGTTGTGATGCACGGCCTAATGCCATTCCCTCAATGCTGAGGGTCCTTTCCGTGATCCTCTGGATGTGCCAATGAGGCCGTGCAGCTGTGGAGTGGCAGAGCTGTGTCTAGGAGCTGGCACCCAGAGTTGCCATGGCAACCCCCCATCCCCAGCCATGTGTCCGGAGCTTCCTGAGAGAGGACACTAGGCCTCTCTCTGGACCCCCTGGGATGCTTGGTGGATAGTAGGTGTACACAGAGGCAATGGCACCCCATGCATCACCCCAAGACCCCTGAGCCCTGAATCCCTCTAGGGCAAGCACCCTGGGTGGGTTGTGGTGGCTTTGCTCCCTTTCCCAGCCTGGTCTCTCCTGCAGCCTGCGAATGGCCCCAGTCCCCGCTGTGCTCAGCCCCTCCTCTCCAGCAGGACCTTAGCAACCCAGCCCTCATTGGCTACGTGTATCCTTGGAGACAAGACACCAAGAGCGCAAACAAAGGCCCGAGAACTGTGGGCAGAGTGTTTCCACCCTCCCTGCCATGAGGGATCTGTTCACCTTCCAGAACCAAGCCTGCTGGGAGGAACGCCTCAGGAAGGAGGCTGCTGCCCGAGCCGCCTGGAAGGTCAAGCATGGCCACAAGTACCCCAGGGAGAGGTCCCTGCCCAGGAAGCGGCTCCAGCCGGCCCTCCTCCACTCAGCCCCGGGCGTGGGGTCCTTGCCCACCACCAGCCCCCCTGACAGAGGGACCGGATTGCCAGAGACCCAGGGGGCCAGGGTCCAGCCGCCCGGGACAGTGGGAGTCCAGGAGGCCCAAAGAGCAACTCCGGAGCCCGCAGGCCAGACCAAACGAGGGAGCTTGGAAATGAGGCGGGTGCCCTCGAGCACCCGGCAGCTGCTCTTCCAAGGCCTCTCCCACGACGGCCAAGGCCGGGCCCTGTACCTCCGGGAGCGGAACCGGCAGAAGCCAGCGGAGAAGTTTCGGTATCCCGTCTTATCCTCCTGGGAGTACGGCTGGCACTTGGGTAAGGGCCACCACCTCTTGCCATTCCAGGCCTTTGCAGGCAGCCTGGCCCCCGCCCCAGACTCGTGCTCCATCCCCGCTCCCTCACCAGCATGCCCTCCTGGCTCACTCTCTCTGAGCAGGCAGGCACCTCCACTCTTCCAGGCCTTTGCACATCTGGTGTGTCTGCCTGGAGTGTTCCTCCTGCCCTCTCTCTGCTGGGTAACTTTCCTATGTCACCACCTCTGGAAAGCCTTCTGAGAGTCCTCCAGGCAGCTTTTTGAGTCTGCAAAAGCCCTGGGCCCACTGTGTCACCATTCCTTGAATATGCATCTGGTCTGGTGAGCCCTCTGGGTTCCAGGACTTCATAGGTAACTTTATTAATGTCCTCCCAGCTCCCAGCTTGGGGATGATACTCAGTGACATTGGAATGAATGTCAAATGAATGAATATAGCCTAGGGAAGGAGGGCTCCATTTGGAATCAGGGAGTGTGAGCTCAAGTCCTGGCTATACCACTTCCATTGGGGAGGGGGTGGGGGCGGTAGCTCAGCCTTGGGCAGGATCCTGGAGGTGCTCACATGGAGCACTGGGCCAGGTGGGGTGCCACTAGACCGGGGGAGCAATGCGATGAGGGGTGAGTGTGGGGTAGGGATGGGGATAAAATAGCTAACAATTGGAATGGCCTGCGTGCCATCCATCAGGCCACATCCTGGCACTTGAGCCAAAGCAGGGCCTCCAGGTTGCCACGCTGTGCCAGGCGTGCCTGTTAGTTATTGGTCCTCGGGAGGAGTGGGTCCTCTGGGAGAGGCGGCGGCGGCTGCTAACTGTGCAGGGGACTCACTACTCTAACCACCGGAGCAGTGGCAGCAGGGGGTGCCTGCCGGCCTGAGGCCCAGCCGGAGGCGTGGTGCCCCCTGCTCAGCCGGGCCTTTTCTATGTTCCAGGGGATGCTGTGAAGAACACCAGGCTTTCAATATATGCCAAGTGCCAGCCCATCACGGAAACCTTTCACAGCAAATGTGGCGTCTTCCATTTTCCTCGGCGAACAGACCAGCTAATGTGAACTCCGCAGGCTCCTTCCTTTGCCCTCGTCCAGCTGGACCCTGCGGAGGGGAGATGCTGCGCCACCCGGCCTCCCTGTGCTGGCAGCCCGTCCCTGCTGGGCACCCCGGGACTCAGGGTGGCCCACCTGCTGCCTCCGTCTGCCCTGGGTGCCCGCAGC